TTCCGAGAGGCTTCCACCTGCACGATGGCCAGGTACCGGTCAACACAGATGCACGTCAGGAAGAGAATGCTGCAGTACATGTTGACGAAGTAGCCGAATATGTGAACAAAAGAGCATTTCAAGCAGTCCCTTGCACTGTAGTGCATGATGATCCGGACGGGCAAGGAGAAGCCCACCAGTAGGTCAGTCACAATCAGGTTGATGGTGTAGATGACAGAGGTGGTTTTTGTCTTGGTGCGGAAGCAGAACACATAGAGCGCCAAGCTGTTGAGCACCACGCCCACCAGGAAAATGATGGAATTGATGACCATCAAAGATATCCACAAGCTGTAAAAGTCTTTGTATAGGTCGTTATCCAGGTGGACAAACCTGTAGAACAAGCTGTTGTTATCTGAGATGCTGGGTGTGCTGGTGGAGTTGCTAAGGCTGAGGCCCGGCACTTGGGTGGATGTGGCCGGCATGGTCAGTGCTCTGGTGACCTGGAGGAAAGAAGCAAAGAGACGTTTACAAGCAGGCTCAGGGGCTTACAGCACAAACCATTACAACCTCAGGAAGAAAGTGCGAAGACTTTTTGCTCACACCTTCCCAATGGCCCCCAGCTGTATCACCATAGGCGCTGAACACAGGACATCTCTGAAGCAAAGCAGTTGGGCTGAGTAGGTACCTCACTGGTAGCCACTAGTGGGAAACCTATTACTATTACTACTGCCCTATTAATGTCTCTGAAAATATTCATGGTGCTTCACAGAAGACCCAAGTCCCTGAAGAGTTTGCAATCTGTGCTTCAGATATGTAGGGATAACACACCTTAGAGAGGGGGATGAGGTGAAGATGCAGAAGGGACACAGCGGTGTGATCACAAAGTTTCTTGATATGCCAGGCGCTTATCGGTCCAGCTTTGACATGGCGAAGATGACTCACTCATTGCTGGGATGGGCAGACACATGGGCTGCCAGCAGGATTATGAAGTAGGAGAGGGTAGTGACTTAGACCAAGGAGGGAAGGCTGGGGCCCCTAGCTATGGAGGGGTTAAGCCAAGTGTGTTGGAAAGTTGCTTTATCAACTACTCCCCAGTTTAAAATCTGCAGCTCAGAGGCTGGGGAAAACCCTATTTGCTCAGAAACTTATAGCAAGTAGAACAGCTACACGGGCAAAAACTGCGACCTGAGAGCCATGTTGGGTAGTATGGTCATATTGTTCCCGTGTCTTCTACCTGTTTTCTCTCATCTTCCATGGCGGTTGCGTGATCTCCGTGGGGCAGGGACTCTAGGCTTGCTCTGTGTGTGCTGAGATGCAGGAATCAGGGCCTCCTTGCAATATGCATAATAAACACATAAATAATAATTAAATAAAATAATTCAAATGCCAAAAAAGCACACGTGGTGGATCTTGGGACAGACTAAGCACAGACCCTTTGCCTCTCAAAGAAGTCGGTAAGTTTGTAGCTCTCAAGTTCACGAAGAAGAGCCGGGAAAAACGACATAGACAGAAGCGAGACAGCAGCAGCTGCCTGAGTGTGCAAAGAGCCCTCAGCCGTGGCTCTGAGAGATGGGAACTGCCCTGTGAATGGCCACAGGTTGTCAGCTACCCCGGGGGGCCTACGAGCACCATCCCAGCAGGGGACGATGAGTGGCTGGAGGAGGAACATGCAGCATCCAGGCCCTATTTGGAGGGCGAGTCATTGCTGCTGCAGGACAGCATATTCTCTTGCCACCTTCAAATACAGGCAGGCCACGGAGCAGTAGTCGTGGCGTGGCATCAAGCTCTGGTGGCAAGTCATCTGGGCAGTCTGTCATGTACTGCCAGGGGCCTTAATTGCCTTTACCAGCCCTAGGGGTGGGCAGAGTAAGGACTAGGTGGGAGCTGGAATAGCGATGAAGAAAGGGGGAAGCATAGGACAATGCAGAGGTGAACGGACAGCTGGCAGCGAGGGTGATGGGACCTACTTGGTGTCACTGAAGCTTTGGGTCCAGAGAGGAGCGCCTTGCTGAGGCCGCCTGGGGCTGAGCTGTATTTCTCTGCCACTGCTCTGACCTGTGACTGGGAAGGGGAAGAGGCAGGGCCAGGGCTTTGCAGCTATGGGCAGACAGGTGCTGGGCCTGTATCGCCACCATAAGGAGTTTATTTTTCCCAGCTGAAGTCAAGCTGGCTGCGTCTCTCCGCAAACTTGGCAGCGGCAGCTGGGAGATTCTCAGCCGAGCTGCTGCTCTCATTGCTGCTTCTGCTGTCAAGGACTGACAGTTTAATTTGCAAAGCATTCCCGGCTCATGCACTATTTTAAACCTATTTGTATAAAAACTATATACACAGAGACTTGACTGATTTAAATAGAAATAAATGGCTAACAACATCTGGAAGATCTCAAACCAACCTAAAAAAACCCCAAACCACAAAGCATCATCCTGAATCAGCAAAGGATAACACTGAGAGGCCTGGGCTGTGATCTTAAAGCACACAATGTCGAAGAGGAAAGGAAAGGTTATGAGAGACCCATGTCAGCACGGAGGTGGGTAGCTGTGCTGCTTGGAAGCCAGGCAGAAGGATGGGGAGGGTTACACCTTCAAGACCAACTAGTTCAGAAAGGCATGAGGTGTCATGGGCAACAACCTACTTCATAAACACGTTCTCCAGAATTCATGGGGAGTTCACTGTTCATGGGGTTCAGGACATCCTAGCTTGCAACAAATACGTCAAACTTCCCCAAATCAGTCCCCAAAATCTTTGTGGAACCTCAGAAAACACGAGCAGCTTGCTCCCCAGGGCAGGCCTTTCGGACAAGGGTAAAAGACGGTTACAATCGCCTGTGTGCGCTAGACCACTCTGCCGTCCATGTGAACCACGGGGGCACGGGGGGAGGGCCACTCTGTCGACAAGAAGATCCCGGGAAGAGTTTACCCTGTAAAATGCAACAGGAGGGACACAGCTAGCTGGGGAGTCTCCAAGGGGATGCTGTTCCTTAGGAAAATGTCAACCGGCAACACCAGCATGCTTTGTGGGGATTAGCTTCGGGATGCAGCCCAGGAAGGGCGATGCGGGAACCTGCCTGCGAGGCTGTTCCCGACTCTGCTTGGGTTCCTGGCCGCCTGCCCGCCCAGATACAGGTCAGCCTGTATGATGAGCAGATGGAAAGCCACGTGGCCTGGAGCTCTGTGAGCCTCAGCTAGCCAGCTCCCAAGGTCTCATGCTCCATGGCTTCTCCATGGCTCACCTAGCAGGCTGTTGTGCAGGGGGGTCTGCAAGGTTTCCAGGCTCCTGCCAACTGCTGGAGAAAGGGCTGGAGGGTTTGGAGCCTGGAAGCCCTGATGGTACCAGCATTGTGCTTTCTTTGGAGCCCCACATCCCCAGGTCCTGTAGCTTCAGGGCAGCCAGACCAATTGGGAACTGCACCCGTTTTATTCCAAATATGAACTAAATCAGTGTTCAAGATCTCTAAATCCTCTCAGAAAAGGAAATTGTCTCCCCACCCCCACACCAGTTCTCATGATGCTGTTCAAAACTTCATTGCCTGCTTTAACAGCTCTTATTCACTCATCCATCATCTTTTTTTTTTAAAGGTTTTGTAAAAATATTTTGCCACAGCTTGGCCAGAAATGGCATTAGCCTCAGAGTGAGGTAGAGGAGTGCCCACAGAGTGAAAGATTTTGGAGAAATGATCACAGAGTCTTGTAGGAAGGTGCATCAGAAAAGCAAAAGCAAATACAGAAAACTATTTTGTTGCTTGCAGATGGATGGCTCCATAAAGGAATGAGGTCAGAGTGTCGAAAGCTGTCGCCTGATGAAAGATGTTGTACTTTCTTTTATTGCATGGACAAGAAACCTCAAAGAAAAATGAATGAATCTACATTTAACTACCCATAGGCACCTTCTTACCTTGCGGTAAGTGTGAGCTTCCTTACTCTCGATTCCTTACTGCTATTCTGTATGCCCGGGTCTGGATTTCAGATCAGGTAGCTGTGAACAAGGATAGTCACTAGGAATATGCATTCAATTCAGTTTGAAATAAAATATAATACAGTCTTAGTTTGTCTTCGCTAGGCATTGAGTCTGGTCCCTACTGAGATTCATATACACAACAGAGCTTCCTTTATATGAGATGCTTTACTGAGCATTAGATTAATTTAACGTGCAGTAAAGCATCACAGCTTACACATGTGCAGTGATTGCTGCACATTAGATTAGTTTAATGTGCTGTTTGCTAGTACCAATACATACAGCTACTAAAAAACCATTGCATTAATATAATGCGCATTAGTGCACATGTACATGCTGACCAGGAGCAAATTGCACCCAGCAGCCCAGGCAACAGGGGCCACGCTGCTGCCTGGCTAAGCCCTGAGCTCCAGGAGGCAGGGGGTGGGTTGGTGGGAGGGAGCTATCCTTGGCTCTGGGGGCAGCTCCCAGTCCCAAAGAGCTTGGGGTCAGCTGTGGCTCGTGCTCCCTGGAGGAGTGTGTGCAGGTCCGAGCCACCAGCTGAGGAGGTGGGGTCATGGTGTCCATACTGGGGCTTCCCCTGGGAGCTGAGATCACAGTGGCAGTGGGGCCCAGAGCTCCCCACGGTGCACGTCCTGAAGCCAAAGGGCAGGTAGGTGCTGGGGTGCAGGGCAGAAGGGACCACTCAGCAGCCCCAGGGATGAGAACTGCCTTCACACCTCTGAGTGGCTGATCTCATCCCTGGTTGGGCTGCCCAGGCCCCTGTGCCTCTGCAGTACCTGGTATAATGACAGAGCCTGGCCCAGCCTGTCACCAGTTGTGCCTGGCCCAGGGGCTCCTGTGGAGCAGGGGTCCATGCTGGGGTGCCTTCGGGCCTGTTGCCCCCATGCAGTTACCATGCCAGTGTGGGGCTGCACCCAGTGCACCTATGGCAAGGGACAGGCAAGAGCTGGTGCTCCCAGCTCCCGCGCCCCTGTGCCTGCCTGCTCATTGCTCTCTGCCTTGGGGCTGCGTGGGCTGGGAGCTGCCCATGGAGCCAGGGACAGCTTTCCCCACCCCCCAGAGCCCAGACGTGACGTCCTTGCCACCTGCCAGCCAGGAGCTGCCCCCAGTGCCCCCTGCCAGCCAGGAGCTCCCCCTGGCTGCTGCAAGGGGGAGGGGGTTCCAGAGCAAGGTAGAAGCACCTCTGGACTAGGCTGCTCCCACTGGGTGCAAATCTGTGCCCGACATAGGGTGCACATGTAGACATGTTCCTGGGCAAAGTTTAATGAGCCTGAATTTACTGTGCAGTAAACTCAAGTGCATCAGTTGCATGTGTAGACATGCCTGCAGAAAAGAAAGCAAGAAACCCTGATGTCATAATCCAGTTCTGATTTGCAGTAGCAGAATGCAGGAAGATATCTGCCAAAGACCTGAAAGGGTCCATTCCAATCCCTTGTACAAATGCAGGATACCACATGCTTCAGCCAGGGAAGTTTAGGTAAGATATTAGGAAAAACTGTCTCACTATGAGGGTAGTAAAACATTGGAACAGGTTACCTAGAGAGGTGGTGGACTCTCCATTCTTGGAGGTTTTTAAGACCCAGCTAGACAAAACCTTGGCTGGGTTGGTCTATTGGGGCTGGTCCTGCTTGGAGCAGGGGGTTGGACTAGATGTGACCTCCTGAGGTCCCTTCCAACCCTCATTTTCTAGGATCTTGTGATTCTATGGTTTTATTCTCAAGCCAGCCCAGCCAGGTGTCTGTTTAACCTCGACTTGAAAACCTCCAAGAAAGGAGATCCCACAACATACCTGGGCAGCTTATTCCACTGTCCTATTGTCCTTAGAGTTGGGAGGGTTTTTCCTGAGATCTGACCTCAAATAGTTTAAACCCATTACCCTGTGTTCTGCCCTCTCTGGCAAAGGAGAAAAATGCTTCTCCATCTTTTTTATATCTTCCTACAATCAAAGCACAAAAACTATTTAGTGGCCGTACTGTGACCACAGCCTGGAGACTGGGACAACAAGGTTTGCTTTTGAATGCCCAAAGTCCAATTGTCCACTGGCCTTGGCCATATGATGAGATTCCCTCTTCCTGTCCCAGAGCCTCTCAGCTACGTTTTAGTGAGAAGCTCCAATCAAAATATGCAAGGACTATTTGTTCTCTCTTCTGATCCCAACAACTCTTGTCCCGACAGCTCGCACCTTCCAAATCTAAATGCCAAACTGTGAAATTTGGGTCAAAATCCAGAGGCAGGTCAGAATTTTATGGCTCAAGTCCATAGCTACACCTCTTGGTAGCAAAGGACATGCCTGTGGTTATGTGATAGTAATTAAATATAAGTACAGTGTGATGCACACACATACTGAGCTTCTTCAGCATTTCTCAGGAAATTTCTAGCAGAAACTGGAAGCCAGAACATGTTCGATTTCTCCAAAAGTCACGAAGTTGCTAACCCCGCACTGAACTCTAACTGGCAGTCAATGTGCCACAGAAGTCCAAATGGCTTTGTCTGTTTCTGATTTAGACACCAAACTCCTTGGGGGAGAATCCATGCCTTTTCGCTTTTGAATACTGCCAAGCATACTGTCACCACTCTGTAAATAACAATCATAGCCAGCGAAGGGCCTGACCTTAGGTATCACATTTGCAACTCAGAGGGGAAGCTCACAGATGGACACAGACCAGAGACCTCAGTTCCACCTTCCAATGACATCTGTAACATCTCGTCTCTCTTGTTCAGTTGACATTTCAATTATTCAGCAACAGAAATAAAATGAAAGGAACAGATGCCTGGGTCTAATCCCAGACTTCCCCAGACATGCTACTGAGAATAACGGTGGAGGTGACTGCATCAATAAGAGCTGAAAAATAAAGGAGTGAAGGATTTAGTCTCTTCCACATCATAGAAAAAGCCTGCATCCGCCCAGAATTAGAAACTTCAAGAACAGAATAGGATTCTCTTCTTCACCTCTTAGCCAGTGCTGCATGGTATTATCCAGTACCATCTGCCTACTCTACTTCTAAGACCCTTATTACTACTTTGTGACTAGACATCCCAATGGGCACATATAGACATTCATTAATGCGCTGTAATTATGGCGCATTAAGCTTAGTACCTATTATTACAAGATCCGTAAATGGTGCTACTGCGCATTAACATTGGTGCATGCTTTTTGTGATGCTAATGCACAGTAGATTAATTCTACTGTGCATCAGCACGGGTCTCGCCCTCTCTGCTAACATGCAGTAGAATAAGTCTACAGCGCTCAAAGTGTGTCATGTAGATGCACCCATTCAGTTCTAATATTTCAAGTTATGAACTTCTACTCTTTTTTCTTGAGAGGCTTATCTTGACCCTGAGTTCTCCACAGAGGGACTTCCCAATATGTGCCCTACATTTTATTTGCCCCAGTTCAATTCATTTGATGTACCAACTTGAGCAAAAGATGCACACTCTGTGCCTTGCTATTAGAGTGGTTATTATTACTGATACAACATCATCAATATGTATGGCATATGTTCCAGGCTTCAGCAGATGGTAAGCAGCATTTTGAATTTACAATGCTGGGTTTTTATTGGAGTGGTGTCAACATGCCTGGTTTAGCTTTTCATCTGACCTCTTCACCCTGGCCAGCTTTTTTCCATGCAAAATAGCAGCAAAGAGGCAAAAGAAATGTGGATGCTAGATGGCATGAGAATGACTTCTCTTGGGGGTTCCTTCATGGCTCGCTTCCAATGACAAATCCCAACCAAATTCATGCTACATTAAAGACTCCTTCACTAGCAAGCAACATAACAGTTGCAGGTTGGGCCAGAACAAGAGAGATCTTGCTCTGAATGGTAAGTGTTAGGAAGATTGGTGATAGCAGACAAGTGGACTTGACTTGGCTGTTGTCATTATTGCACTCCAATATATTTCCATCTCTATATCTTGGTAAATGGAAGACGTTTTGATGAAAACCCAAACTTCTACCCATAAATGTATTTAATGCTGGTAGGTGTGGCCCAAATCCCAGTTAATAGATCTATCCAGTATAGAATCGTGGTGTTACAGCAAAGCAGGGCTGGAAGGGACCTTGAGAGGTCATCTAGTCCAACCCCCTGCCAGAGGCAGGATCATCCCTATCCAAAAGCTCTCACACAGATCCATTGTCTAACCTATTAGCAAAACTACATGGTTAACCCTGATACAATCAAAAGACAGACCACCCGAACCTGTCACAGGTAAATCAGATGGACCGCCTTGATGTTGCAAATGCTATTAAAATATGCTCAAGAGAACTGGCTATAACTCTTTCCTCGGGGAAGGCCACCAGAGCCCATACCAATCTGACCGTGGGGTAAAATTCCTTCCTGACCCCAAATATGACAATCAGTCTGACCCCGAGTGGAGGGGCAGTAGTAGGTCTCCAAATCTTGACAAAGAAATATGACCCTCATGGATGGAGATACCAACAGGAGGCAACGTGACTTGCTTAAAGTCAAAGAGCACACCAGTGCAGAGCCAACTATCTCCAGTGGTCTCCCAAGTTTCCTGATTCCAAACCCAGTGCCCAGGGTGTTTCCTAGGACACCTCTGTATGGCAGTCAAAGGTGTGACAGCAACTTGCCTGGCCATTCCTCAGCTAGCTATGCACCACGGCCAACTTAAAAAAATGCAACATCCATGTCAACTCATGGGACGCCATCGCCCAGGACTGCCCCAAATGGAGGACAAGTCTGCTGCAGGCACCTCAGTACTTTGAAACCTCACACCAGCAACAGGAGATGGAAAGTGGGAGCAGCAGAAACAGTGTCGTGGACCAAATCAAGGATCCACTACCAGCCGCCCCGCATGGAAACACATGTCTGAGCAGCAGCAGAGTCTGTTGACCTTGGATAGGCTTCACCAGCCATCTTTGGACACATGGATAAGACAATCATGCAAGACGATCATCCTCGACTGTGAGGGATTGCCAAAGAAAAGATTTCTCCTTCTCCCTGCTGTTTTGCACTGCACTTTGTGGAGCCTGCTGAGAGCGGAGGCGCCAAAATACC